GCAGCCTCTTAAGAAAAAGATTTGTTCTGTAAAACTTGGACTCAGTCCAAAGGCTGCACCCAAGGACCTAGAAGACCACAGGTGACTTCGAGGCCACAGGTTCCCCACCCCAACCCAAGGACACCACGGCCAGGTCAGGGAACCAGGAAGGAGCAATGCCGCCACATCGAGAGGGACAGGAGGAGGAGGCCAGAGGGAGCCAGCGGTGCCAGAAACTGCAGAGCAAGGACAGGGATGAAGGCTAAGGAGAGACGTCCACACTGGGCTATTACCGGGTCATTGGCAACCCTCGAGAAGAGGGGTTGGCGGGCAAAGGGAGAAGCCCCATTTCAGGAGGCGGCAAGGCTGTGAGAGTGGTGAGGAAGGGGAGGCAGGAAGGGATGGCAACCTGAGGGGATGGGGCCAAGTGACGGAGGTGGAGAGAGGGCCTGGAGGGTTTGGAGGCAGCAGGGAAGGAAGGAGCTGGCCCAGACCCAGGTCATCAGCTGCCGTTGGAACATCTCAGATGGTTCGTCCTATAAACATCTCACTCATTGTGCTCAGTACAGAACTTGTTATCTTCTTCCTTAAGTACTTCCCCTTTCCCCAACTTCCCTATTGTGGTCAAGGGCATTGCCATCCTCCCAGAGGCAGCTCAGTGGCATGAAGGATAGAGTGCTGGGCCTGGAGGCAGGAAGACCTGAATTCAAATCCAGCCTCAGATACTTACTAGTTGTGTGACCCTGGGCAAGTCACTTTACTTCTGCTTACCTCAGTTTACACCTCTGTAAAATGAGGATAATGATAGCACCTACCTCCTAAAGTTGTGGTGAGAATCAAAGGAGATAATATTGGTAAAGTGCCTCGCACAGTTTGTTGTTGAGTTGTGTCTGTTGTGTCCGACCCTCTGTGGCCCCATTCAGGGTCTTCTTGTCAGAGAAACTGGAGTGATTTGCCAGTTCCTTCTCCAGCTCATTTTACAGGTTAGGAAACTGAGGCAAACAGGGTGAAGTGACTTGTCCAGGGTCACACAGCTAGTGAATGTCTGAGGCCACATTTGTGCTCAGGTCTTCCTGACTCCAGGCCTGGTGCTCTGTGCACTGCCTCACCTAGCGACCCCTACTAACACATGGAGGCGCTTAATTAGTGCTTGTTTCCTGTGTTCTCTTCCTCCGTAGTCACCCAGGCCTGAAATCCTCACAGATCGAATCTGTCACCAAGTCTGATCATTTCTTCCTTCACACCATCTCTTCTACGTCCTCCTTTCTCGGCACGTGCCATCCCCACGTCCAGGTCAGCCTCCCATCGCCTCTGCCTTCTCACTCAGGTCTCTCCACGCAGCTGCCTGGGCGCTTCTCCTCAAACGTGGGGAGGCACCCCTGCCTCCGAGTCAACACACCCCAGCGGCTTCCTCTTCCCAAGGCCTCTCTCGGCTCTCCCGCCATCCCCTGTCTCTGCCCCTCGTCCCTGGACGGCCTCTGTGCTTCCTTCCTTCTCTCTCCGCAGCCACCTTTTTCTCTGTGATATCTTGGGAATCTGCATCGTCACTTGCTGTAAAGGCCTTGATGAGAAGGGTTGACTTTGCCCTTTTTGGGGTACGTCTTAGCACTTATCACAGTGCTGGCACATAGTAGGTGCTCAATAGGTGCTTGTTCACTAATTGAAACTGTCTCCCCTGACTCCATTCAGTGAGCACCTACTGTGTGTTGGTCCCTGGGATGGATGCTATGAGCACAAAAGATAAAAGGGACGCATTGCATTCTTTGCTCTCAGGACACTTTGCACTGACCTCCTAGGAGAGCACATATACTAGAATTCATTGAATGAGAATGAGGACCCTGTCTATACCTGTCATTACGGAGCGTGGAAAACTTGGCTTTTTGTGGAACAAGCAGAAATTGCAAGTGAGTATTGGAGTAACTTGGAGTTAAAAGAAAACATGTTCCCAAGAGGTAGAATGGCTGCATTTAAAGAAGGTGTCTGAGAATTCCTTCAGAAGGAGAAGTTCAGAAAAGTACAGCCAGAATATCCTTGCAGACTTTGAAGTTTCCTACGTCTGTCGTCAGTTCAGATTCACTGGGGTCGATGTATTTTCTGAAAGTACAAAGTAGAAATCATTAATTCTTAATACTTTGTACTTGACTGCTCACCTAAAAATGTGTGTGCGTGAGAGAGAGACCGAGAGAGAAAGGAGAGGTGGGAGGATGAAGAGAGAGAAGGAAGAGAAAGCAAGAGGGAGGAGGGAGAGAGAGAGGGA